TAAGGTTATACTTCTGTTTAAAATGTCAACATGTGGCAAACTAAACTTGGCAGTCTTAAAAATTATTCTAAGAGTTTACATTGGTGAGTATACTTTAAGAAGTTGAGCGTTAGAGAGGAGGAGGGAAAGTTGCACTGCTTTTCCACTTATCTACCGGAGAGTGTTCGTGCATCAGGTAAATGGATTTGGTGTGATTTCTTAAAACACTTTACTCTCTGTTTTACATATATTCATGTGGGGGGTGGGAAATTCTATTTGAATTAGGTATGTAAAGTTTGAGAGGGGCCTTACAATACAATGTAATGTTTGTCAGGAGCTCAGTCTTGTCAGCTTTCTTGGATAAATTATTTTAAGATTTTTTTTCTGGCTATGTTAATAAAGCTTGTTGCTGCTTCGATCTGAGCTTATCTCTTTCCCCCTTCCCCCCACCCTTCAAGCAAGACAGCAATCTGTTCTTTTTAAACCCTTCATCATCTTTGCTCTCTCCATCTCTGTTTCCCCAGATTTTAGAGATTGTTGACTATTATGTAACAGATGGCCTGACAGACCTCCGACTCTTTGCAGTGATGGCTAGCTTGGCGCAGAAAATAGCATCACTAGAGTAAGTATTCAGAGGCATAGATGCTCATGAATTTTAACTCCTCAGTGACAAAAGAATTCAAGGGGGTAAGAGCTGATCTATCAGTTGCCGAAGTAATTAAAAGACTTAGATGGCTCTCTAGTGCAGCGTATCCCTTCACTGTTACAGGCTGTTTATACTAGATTAAGCTAGTCCATGTCCCATTGATCTCTAAACTATAACTATGCTTTGAAACAATGGAACAGCTTAATCCAGAAATTGAGACATTCCAGCAAGCATTTGCTAATGCTTTTCTTTTGGCTTTTAATGAAATGTATACTGCACCATCAAGCTGAAAAAGATGTATATCAGAGTAACGTGAATACTGTGTCAGAATTAAATTTTGATTTCTAATTCATTTCTAGTGAATGGAGCAAGCCAGGAAAATTACTTGTAGTAAATTGCTCATTCCCTGGCTCTAAACATTTAATAATTCCTAGTCAGAGTATTTATTCCCCCCCCACCCCTGCCCCCCGGTCTCCTTTATACTTTGCCTTTGTTCTTTAGAGACACTATCTGCCCACTGCTTGGGTCCTCTGTGCTGTTTCTCCTTCCTCCTCTCTGAATTTCACTGAAAGTCTAGTTAAGGGCTCTTCAAAATATTTTATGAGTCTTCCTTGTGAAGCAGGAGAAAGCTGAAGAAAGGACAGAGCCATTTCTGAAAAGATCTCAGAACCGAGACAATTCAGTGGGTTATTCAAATTGGAGCTGATTTCTATATCACTTTTGAAATAGAAAGGAAAAATGACCACATTGGTGTTCTAGCAGGGACTTAAAAATGAAAGACCAAAGATGAGGTTAAATTGCCTTCTGCTAGATGGAGGGTAAAGGGACAATTATAGTTCAAAGAACTGATTTTGCATAGAGGTTGTATTGGATGTAAAAGCAGTATATAACTAATACCCTGACCAGATCCTGTATTTCTCACCGTCTTAACTGCTTAGTACAAGGAGCAGTTGGAACTCTGCCCAAACAAGAGTAGTTTGCACAGGGGAATTCTTGGGTGGTATAAAACTGACATAGCTGGCTTTATCCCTTTCACTCCTACTCCTATTCAACGGAGGAGGAGAAAAGGTGTAGCCAAAGAGCACTGCACTCTGATCATCCTGAAATTGGAACAATAGGCCCATCCAATGAAAGTCAGAGTAGTTTTGGAGCAGCTCTAGCTTTTACCTGAAGCTATATTCATCCCCAGCAGACATAAAAAGCAAGGAGTGGAAAGAAGGCTGAATGCCCCCCAGGCCCTTCCCTCTTCAGATGCGCTAGGGAGAGTTCAAACATACCTAAAAGTCTATCATGGGATTGCCACAGGTATCTAAATGTTTGGGAGCATAAATCTCATTCAGAGTCAGTGGAATTTGTGTTCCTAAATCAACTGGGCACTTTTGAAAAGTGCAACCCTAGTCTGTCAAGTGCATGAAGGATAAATTAATGTTATCCTTCTTTTCCTCTTCATGTGAGTATGATATATGTGTTGTAAGGAAGTGTTTACATCTTACAGCTAGTCTTCTTTTCCTACATGTTTCTTCAGTGAATTCATCATGTTCAGGTACTGACATAATGTTTTCCAGAAACAGACTGTAATGTCATATAGAATGGGATTCTAACTTCATTGTAAGATTGGGAAGAAGGACACATTGGGATAAAAAGAAGAAATCCATTATGCAAGTGAACATGTCTTCAGTACTATCAAAAGAAAGAGCAGAATTTTAACAAATGAAATGTATTCTACATGGAAGTCTAAGCCATGATTTAAAAAAAAAATGAGGTCTAAAATTAGATGTCTATCTCCATGTTGAATTGTCTAAATGAGAAACAGCAATTTCCATAACTGCTGTGAATCCAGCAAGCACCCCTGACTTCACTGGAAGCTTTAAAATACTTTAAGTCTGCTTTAAAAAAAAAAAAAGTAATGGCTATTTTTGGGGCCACTATATTTTTCTGCTTTTGCTTCTTTGAGAAACTGGTAATTTCAGAAATGTCTGCCATAGCTGTTAGCTGCAGGGGCCAGGAGACAAAAGGTATTGGTAATTTGTAGATGGCTATATCCCATACTCTCCACACAAGCTGGGCACTTCACAGGTATGTGCATGTAATAATGGAGGGCCAAAATTGATAGAATCATAGAAAATTGGGGTTGGCACCTCAGGATGTCATCTAGTCCGACCCCCTGCTCAAAGCAGGGCCATCCCCAATTAGATCAATCCAGCCAGGGCTTTGTCGAGCCGGACCTTTAAGACTTTCAAGGATGGAGATTCTACCATGTATCTAGGTAACCCATTCCAGTGCTTCATCACCCTCCTAGTGAGAGTTTTTCCTAATATCTAACCTAAACTTCCCTTGCTGCAACTTGAGACCATTGCTCCTTGTTTTGTCATCTGCCAACACTGAGAACAGTCCAGCTCCATCATCTTTGGAAACCCCACTTCAGGTAGTTAAAAGCTGCTATCAAATCCCCCCTCAGTCTTTTCTTCTGAAGACTAAATAAACCCAGTTCCCTCAGCCTCTTCTCAGAAGTCATGTGCCCCAGCACTCTAACAGTTTTCATTGCCCTCCGCTGGACTCTCTCCAACTTGTCCACATCCTTTCTGTAGTGGGGGGTACAAAACTGGACACAGTACTCCAGATGTGGCCTCACCAGTGCAGAATAGAGGGAAATAATTACTTCCCTTGATCTGCTGGCAATGCTCCTACTAATGCAGCCAAGTATGCTGTTAGCCTTCTTGGGTGCTGACAGACATGGAAAAAAAATCACACTTTACTGAAGTAGCAGCACATTACTTCGACCTGGCTCTGCAGCACTTGTATGGATCAGGGGCTTCGGTGGGGCTTTTTGACACTTTAAAGCTGATTTAATCAGCTATTAGATAAAAGTACCAAAAAAGCCCCACTAAAGTGCCTGCTCTATACAGATGTCAGGAAAGCTGGGTCCAGTTAATGTGATGCCTTTTCTGGGTATTCGTTGGGCTCGGTGCGAGAGTGTGCTGAGTTTAAAGTAAAGCACCATTTTTTTTCCACATCTACAAGCAGCCCATAATATGTTATTCTCCCTTAACATATTACCTTCCCCCTGCATGCATGCACGCACTCGCACACTCAGTCACTCACTCACACAAACAGCCCTTTCCATAGCCCATCTCCATAATCACACTCCCTACTGTAGTATAGGGATCCCTGTGGCAAAGACCCAAGGCCCATTTGTGGTGCAATGCCCTTCATTTCCTCTCCCCCATACAAGTGTTATTTTATGTATATACTTTATTGTGGGCTGGATCCAACTCAAAAAGTTCTTCCCAATCTTACAATCTAGCCAATGATTCTAGAGTCAACAGGGAGTAAAGGTTTGCCTAGGTCCTATGCGTATTACTGATGTCTCTTAGGAGCATTAAATTGTTGTATATTAATTTGAGTGAAAATGTTGTAAATAATCATTTTAATAAGGTTTGGAATGTCTAAACTCAGAATATCTCCATTTTCTGGTGAATAATGGCTGGTGAGTTATGATTATGGTCAAACAGCACCATTTAGTCAGCAAAATCTTTCTTTATAGAGTAGCTTAGATATGGGATGAGAAAATAGCACCATTGTTTTAAAATTGCCTTCTTCTTCTCTGTCTATTGCTTGTCTAAGTGTCAAGGCTATGAAATAACTCTTGAAAAGAAATTTGAGTATTCAATCCTGGGCAAACAAAGCCATAGCAAGCCTTCCAATTGGTTGGGCATACCAATGACAAAACAATTATCTTGTTAATGTATATTTTGCATAAAAAAGATCACTTTAGACAAGATTTGACAACCATTAGAGATCTAGTTTCTTTCCTAGGGTTAGAATACTACTGTGCATCATACAACAGAACTAGGATTGCTTCAAGCTACAAGTGACGGGGATGTCAGCTTCCTCAACTGGGAAAGGACACATGCTCCCCTTCAGCAGTGGCCAACACTGCCTGATAAAGCTGGGAGAAGCAGACATGGGATGCATCTACATGTGCTGCTATGGTGCTGTTGTTACTGCGCTGTCATTTAGTACTTCCTTTTGGAAGTACTAAAAGACAGCGCGGTAACAGCTCATACTGCACCCTGCACACGGTTATTTTTAGGCACTACGTCACCGTAGCGACATGCTATAATGAGGGGGCCTGTTGCTACGGTGACGTAGCTGCAGCATCATGGTTTTTGCCTACGGACTCTATGTTGCCATAGCACATTGCTATGGTGATGTAGTGTCCCGTGTAGATGTGCCCACTGAACTGTTTCACAGGTGTCGCTGGGCTTAGCTTTGTCCCTTCTCTGTTGGTGCTCCAGGAGGTATTAGGTACAAGAAATTGTAGAGTCCCTCCTGGGACAGTACATCTCGGTGCCCCTTCTAACATGAACCATGGCTGTGGAGTCACAATTTAGCTCCATATGTTGCTTGTTTACAGCCCAGTGTTCAGCACAATCTCAGAGGACAGTTAACAGTGTCTTTCACCTCTGCGTAACCAATTTGAAGCTGACAAGGTCACCATTCACCAAAAGTCATGACTATCTGACAGCTGTTGGATGGTCTGTATGAAATAAGTTTGGTCTCCGTCCAGTTTCTGAAGGACAGCTGATCACTTCACAACATCTACCACCACAGTTGGCACGCAGGTTTGTAGAGTCTTTAGAAGCCAAGAATTGAAAGGGCACGGGGACTTGAAGTCTGAGCAACAGAGTCAGCCTCTCAGGGTCATGGATGAGGAATAATTTCAGCATGGTGAGCAAGGATAGTTTTGTAATTACAGAATGGACTCTTGGATTTTAAAGACCTGGGTTTTATTCCTGGCTATACCACCGGCTTCTTGCGGGACCTTGGGCAAGTCACTTATTGTCTCCTTGCTTTGGTGCCCTGTGCTGTAAAATTGGATACATTGAAATTTGTCTTCATGGGTAGGTGTGAAGAGGAATCCATTACTGCATGTGATGTTTTTAGAAACAACAACAAACCTCCTCCATCAATAA